CGTCTTGTTTGTAGAACCTCAGTGTCTTTGCTTTGGTACTGGACGCCTTGCTCGGACAGCTCTGTAACTTTTGCTGATCGTCCTGTAAGGTAGAGCCCTGTAGTTTCAGGCTCTGTTATCCACTAAAGTGCTGTAAGAGTTATGTAAATAAAAGCAAAGTCACCAAGTTAGGATATCCTTTGAACATTCCTTGATTCTGAATATTTAACAACCACGTCTGTCCTTAGTGGCTCCCAGAATCTCCACAGTGGTCCTCTGACCTGTCCAGCAAGGCCTATAGCAGCAGGAAGGATGTAGAGGCCGGCGACACTGCCTCTGCCTGGGTAAAGTGGGGCAGCAGTGCCCTGCTGGAGGGATCGCAGCCCTTGGCACCACCGTTAGGCATCTGCAGTCCAAGGAGGGCACTCCAGTCACATCCTTGTCACCTCTCTTACAAGCACTGTGGAGAAGACTGGCACCTTAGCACAGGCCTGTAATTCCAGCCACACGGGAGGCTGAGGCAGAAAGATCATGAATTTGAAATCAACCTTGGCAACTTAGTCTCAAAATAAAAAATAAGGCCTGGGGATGTATGGCAAAACGCCTGCCTGAGTCACATCCCAAGCACCATAGAGGAGGAGAAAAAGACAAGGGCCGGAGGAGGAAGGGAAGGAGGAGGGAGAAGAGGAGGGGGAAGGCAGAGAGGCGTGGGTTACCCTGCAGTCTGGTGGTCCCCGGCATGCAGCGCTCCCTCAGGTGCCATCCCAGGCCTGGGCAAGGTACTGCCTGCTTGTGGCTGCCTTGCAGTGTGGCCTGAGGAGTCCTTTCCCCGGAAAGTCAGCAGTACTCCTTCCTGGCGGTGGGCAGTGCCATGCAGTCACCTGGTCCCCAGGGCCCAGGGCTGCTCCCCTGGCCCGCACACAGCCACCACGTGCTCAGGGCACCAACCAGGCAGAAGTGGGATGGCAGGGAGCATACCAGGTTTACTGGTGAGAGATTTGCCCATCCGAGGCCGGGGAATACAGCCGAGAACTTTCGGAGGGTGCTGCAGTATGACCAGGCCTCCTGAGTGAAGCTGGTGAGCAGGACGCCTGGCCTCCGAGAAGCAGAGGGGCCTTTGGGGACAGAAAGACTTTCAGGAATGAGGCCAGGTGCCTACAATCCCAACACTGGGCAGGCTGAGGCAGGAGGGTCGCTGTGAGATCAAGGCCAGCCTGGGTTACATGGTGAGATCCTGTCTCAAGAAATGAACAAAAAGAAAGAAAGAAAAATGCCTCTTATCTTAGTGCCAGGCTGAATGCTTAATCCTGTGCCACCAACGCACCACATCACCTCCTCTGCCATGGTGAACTGGGTGGGCATCGTCTGACTCAGAGCCCTAAAACCACGTGGTCTCGGCACCCAGGGGAAAAGGTTTGTGCAATGTGCAGCTATGAACTTCCATATCCTGTTAAGTGTTGCAAATTCTCTAGATAGATTAAAGTCTGTGGGAAACCAGGTGTGGTGGCACACACCTGTCTTTCCAGCACTTGGGAGGCTGAGGCAGGAGGATCACCCCAAGTTCAAGGCTAGCCTGTTCAAGACACAACAAGACCGTGTCTCAAAGAAAAAAAATCCCAAGTCTGTCACATGGAGGAGTAGCCTGAGCACCCTGTCCACCCCAGGAGCCCTGTACCCCCTTCTATGTCTTGGAATCCCTCGCAGGGCCTCCTGGGAGACCCCACATCAATTGCCAGAGAGCAGGGCATGGCCTGGGTCCCTGAGGCTCTATGTCACAGGCAGCCCTCTGGAAGGGACTAAGGACTCCTCCCTGAGCCCAAAGCTGCGAGCTGCACCTGGCCCTCCGGGGCTGGACACAGAGGCAGCAGGGACCTGGACACTGACCCCTGGGCCAAAGCTATCGCCATTGTCTGGGGCGCTGTGGGCTTGGGAAGGGTCAGGAAAGTCACTGACTGGAAATTCTGGAGGAGAGATGTGGACAGAGCTCTCTGAAGCAGGGGGGACAGGAAGGGAACATGCTGGTGTCCCAGGGAGCGAGGACCACAGGGGGACATCCACAGAGGGGACACTGACAAGTGAGTGATGGGGGCCACTCAGCCCCTGCTGTCGCCGAGGGGGCTCACATACAGAGTGGCTGGGTGGTGGTCACACGAAGAAGCAGCAGGTGGGTCCTGCTCACCAGGGAGCCCCAGCTGTAGCCTCCCCCACTGGGAGCCCCTGGCTCAGAAGCAAGGCCAACCCCAGGCCCCCAGGACATCGTCCCCATGACCAGCCATGGCCTGGTGGCAGTGTGATCATGCCTGGTCACTCCCCCCACCCCATCTGTGCCTACCAGAAAGACACACGTTCTGGGTGAGAATTTGTGTCCCCTGTCTGCTGCTCATGTGCCCAGACCAGACCTGTCACAGCTTTTGCATGGTGCTGGGTGTGCCTGGGACTCACAATTTGAAGTCTGACTTGGGGCAACTTCCCTGGCCTGTGGGGTTCACTAGTGCCTGATTCCTGGCTTCCTGAACAGCTGGCTGGAAGGAACCACCGAGACACTTTGGAGACCCAGTTACAGGGCCATGCAGGTGCCAGCCTCCTGCAGGGCAGGGACTAGGGTGAGTGTGGGGCCTGGGTCAGTGTCCAGGATGCAGTGCTATTTTGCCCATTGCTGAGACCCAAGTCTGAGAGCCAGGGGTGCCAAAGAGGCATGGTGCCACTTACCAGGGTCCTGGGGACCCCCAGCGACATGTCTACTCCCCGAGGCACGGCCTTCTGCTGACCAGTTCAGTGCTGGTAGCTCTGCTGGCAGGGACCCATCCACTGCCTGGGAAGCCCGGGGGGCTCTGCAGAGCTGGGATGGAGATGCCTGGCGCACGATCTCACTAGGCCTGGGCCACCCCAGACTTCCAGGCCAAAGCCTGCAGGTCGCAGCCCCATCGGACTGCATGAGCTAAGCTGCCCCGCCTGCAATCCTCCCAGGGGTCCAGTTTGGCTCACACTGCCTCTCAGGGCTGTTCCTGCTCCCTGGCACCCCGCTCTTTAGACCACACACACTCCGGCCCCTCTGAGTACCCCATCTGTCCTGGTAATCCTTTCCCGCTTTTCAACACCACTATTCCTTGGAATTAATTCAATTTCAGGGAACATGAATCAATACATCGGCTTGGAAGTTATATCTTCTCTGTGTCAACTCCACCAGGTAAAAAACAAGGGCCTAGCTGGGTTGTGATGGTGCAGGCCTGTGATTCCAGTACTAGGGAGGCTGAGGCAGGAGGATCACCAGTTCAGGGACAGCCTGGGCTACAGAGTGAACGAACTCAAAGCCATTTGAACTACATGGTCTTCAAAAAACAAAAGAAAGAGTTTGGACATATTTGGCATAATGGTGGAAACTTGCAATCCCAGCACCTGGGAGGCTGAGGCAGGAGGATCACCACAAGTTCAAGGCCAGCCTGGAGTACACAGTGAGTTCAAGGCCTGCCTTTACTATAAAGTAAGACTGTGCCTCAAACATAAATAAATATAAATTTTTAAAAAATGTTTTCTGGTACTAGGGATTGAACTCATGACATGCTTGCCAGGCAGGCACTTATGCCACTGAGCTAAATCTCAGGCCCCTAAATTTTTTTTTTTAAATTCAGAGTGCAACAATCTGTAAAGCTTGTTTTATTTTTGAGACAGAGTCTCAGTGTATAGTTCAGGCTGGCCTTGAACTCATGGAGATCTTTCTGCCTCAGCCTCCCAGGTGCTGGGATTACAGGGGCGCATCACCATGCCCAGCTAAATTTTTTTTCTTGAGAACAGGATCTTGCTATGTTGTACACATTGATCTCAAATTGCAAACCTCCTACCTCAGCCTCCCAAGTAGCTGAGATTACAAACCCGTGCCACTGTGCCTGGCAAAGGGAACACAGAGCAGAATCCTCATGACCTCAGATTAGGCAGAAGCTCCTGAGCTATAGCACAAGGAAAAACAAGCAAAGGAAGACACAGGTAAATCGGACTGGCTCAAGATTTAAAATTTGAATTTCAAGATAAGACTGGCAAGTAAATGAAAAGAGGAAGCTGGGTGTGGTGGCACATGCCTGAAATTCTAGCACTCAAGAGGCTAAGGCAGGAGGATTGCTTCGAGTTTGAGGCCAGTCTGGGCCACAGAGGGAGATATTTCTTTTCTCTTCTCTTTTTTTTTTTTAAACCGGGGATTTAACTCATGACTATGCGCTTGCAAGGCAGGAGTTTGTGCTGCTGAGCTAAATCCTTGGCCCAGAGAGAGAGATTTTCTTAAAAACAAAAATCCACAATGGATGACTGCCCCTGGTTTATCACAATATCTGTTATAAAAAAACAAATTCAGCCTAGCGTGGTGGCTCACGCCTGTAATCTCAGCACTTGGGAGGATGAGGCAGGAGGATCACTGCAGGTTCAAGACCAGCCTGCGCTACAAAGTGAGCCCAAAGCCAGCCTGAATGGCACAGTGAGACCCTGTCAGGTGATGCAGGGAGGGAGGAGAGAGGGGAAGAAAAAGGAATTGAGATGTGTTATGTGTGTGCCTCAATCTCCCACAAGAAATGTAAACATTAGGGGCTGGGGATTTAGCTCAGCGGCATAAGCGCCTGCCTTGCAAGCAGGAGGTCGTGAGTTTGATCCCCAGTACCGATAAAAATGAAAAAAGACCAAAAATAATAAGAAGAAAAGAAATGTAAACGTTATGTACTGCCAATACGGATCACCCAAAAAACTCAAAGACAAAAACTGAATCAGAAAATAATGTCAAGCCAGGCGTGGTGGCTCACGCCTGTAATCCCAGCACTCGGGAGGCTGAGGCAGGAGGATTGTTGAGAGTTCAAGACCAGCCTGAGCTACAAAGTGAGCTCAAGGCTAGGCTGAACTGCATAGTGAGACTCTTTGTCTTAAAAAAAAAAAAAAAAAAAAAAAAAAGACAAGAAAAAATAATGTCAAGGATGTGGAGCAGTTGGAGCCCTGTGCCTGCCTGGTGCAACTGTTCAAACAATTAGGATAGTATTGGATATTACATGTCCTTAAAGGTCCACGTGTTAAGCTATCTATATCCTGGCCTTATATCTAAAGCTTGTGATATGTTGTGATAGTTGGGTTGAAGAAGTGCAATATTAAAGCAAAAGCCATGAGATCATTAAGCCCATTGTGTAAAGATGCACTCTGAGTTATAACTCAAAGGCACAACTAAGAAAAAAAAAAACAACAACAACAACAACAACAACAAAAAAAAAACATAAAAAAAGGTCCACGTGTTAATAGCTGGATCACCAGCCAGTGCCACTATTAGGGGGTGATTGCACCTTTAAGAGGCGGAACCTAGCAAGAAGCTGTTATGTCTTTGGGGCATGGCCTATGGAGGAGGAAGCTGAGGCAGGAAGATCAAAGCTTGAATCCAGCCTGGGGAATTTGAGGACTTAGAACACTTCTCACAATCAATCAACAGGCTGGGACTGTGGCTCAGGGGTGACCACTGGCCCTCAATTCATTGGGTAGTCCAGGCTGGCTTCAAACCCACAGAAATCCTCCTGCCTTAGCCTCTCATGTGCTGGGATCACAGGCATGTGTCTCCATGCCTGGCTGTTCCAGCTATTTCTAAGTGTTGGGCTTCTTTGTTTTGTCTCTGTTTTAACAGTTCATTGTGGAAATAAGAAAATGTTTCTGGGGGCTGAGATTTAGCTCAGCGGCATATGCGCCTGCCTTGCAATCAGGCAGTCTTGAGTTCGATCCCCGGTACCGATTAAAAAAAACCAAAATGTTTCTGACTGCACTGGTATCCAGCTGGGGCTGGATCTCAGACTGGAGGACGCCAGCTCCAGGAGCAACCCAACCCACCCTTTCTCCATCCACCAGAGTCTGGGGTCTGAATTCATGGCCCCACACCTCACCTGGACCCCTCTGTTTTTTTTTTTTTTTGTTTTTTTTGTCTTTTTCCTTTTATCGGTACAGTGTTAGGTTTCTAGGGGACCCCACCAGACCTGCCACTCCCTGTGCAGCACTGTCAGAGCCCATCTACTGCTGACTGTTCTGCCCAGGCTACACTGGTCTCCCTGTCCCTAAATCCGGCCAGGCACACTCCTCACATAGGGCCTTTGTGGAGCTGTTCCCTTAGCGGGGCACTTTCTTCCCTTAGATCTGCACTTGACGAACCTCACCTTCAAATCTTTGCTCAAATGGAATCCCAAGGAAACCTACCCTGAGCACACTTTGAAAAATTGGTCTTTCCAACCTATTCCTTTATCCTGTTTTATTATCATTTCTTTTTTTTTTTTTATTGGTACCAGGGATCGAACTCATGACTGCCTGCTTGCAAGGCAGGCACTTATGCCGCTGAGCTAAATCCTCAGCCCACAGTGGTTTTTTTTTGGTCACCTGGGCCCCTCTTAAAGTATCCCCACCCCTCCCTGAGGGCCTTGGCAGACTCTCAGACCCCAAAATCAGAATTCTTCTCTTGTACCAAAAGAGGTCCCCCGAGGGTAAGGTGGCAGGCTTGGCTGCTGAGGGAAATTCCTCAGCCCAGGAAAGGACACCTGGGGTCCAGGGTGCTGCCCAGCTTGGCCCTGACCTTCCAAGTTCCCTTTGTCAGTCCGTGCCCAGCCATGGGCAACCGGGTGGCCCCTAGCCTCTCTGGGTGCCTCCAGAAACAGTGGGTGTCTGTGGGGTCCAGGAGCCTCTGCTGTGCAGCCCCGCCCTCCCAAAGGGCCCCACTGGCCTTGCCCCCACAATCTTGGGTGGGGCCAGCTGGCGGCCACCTTGATTCTAAAACCACAGTTTGGATTTTTTAGGAACCTGCTGGGGTGTTGGGGGTGGGGGTGGGAGCTAAGCTCAGAGCCTCTTCCTGTGAACACTCAAGGCTCCACTGAAGGCAGCAGAGGTCGACTCATGTGTCCTGGGTGGGGAGTGGCCCTGGGAACCCCTTGAAAGGACTCTCGAGCTGGGCTTCGGGGTGGGATTTATTTTGATGGATTTCACTGCAGAGGGAGAGAGGAGGAAGGGCTCTAACACCCCCCTGGACCCGTGTGGCCCCATCCCATGGGTTACACGCATCCCATGGGTTACATTGCATGTCTCTGGCCACGTGCAGCTGATATTCTAGCAGGCAGGGAGGCAGGGGCGGAGCAATGTCCTTAGAACCAGATCACCAGCAGGGAGCGCTGAAAGGTGACAAACCATCAAGGGGAGAGGGGCCCACGGCACATCTGTGGCAGCAGCCCCTGGAAAATGCGGGCAGTGATGCGCGTCAGAAACAGGAAAGTTGGGGCCTCGTGCAGGACTCAAGGGGCTGTGACATGGTGTGGCTGCCATGGAACAGAGCGGGGCCCCTCCTGCGGGAGTTAAACAGAGCAAACAGTTCCACTGCCGTCCACAGAGCATGAGGAACTCGGGTTGCTCCTCATTCATGGATAAGCGTGGCAGCGTTCTTCATGGACAAAAGGTGGAAACAACCCAAATGCCCATCCAGAGACAAATGGATAAATGAATCTGATCTGTACGGCCTCCTGAGTGCTGGGATTACTCACCCCGAAAAGGAGCGGGCACCCTACCACACACTGCAATGGAAATGCACTTTGAAAACAATGCTGGGGGAGAGAGAGGAGGGACAGTAAAAAGAATGAAGATAGGTGCCTGTGCCAGGGCTCCACAGTGGGTGTGACGGTTATGTATGGCAAATACACACTAATCAAAACGAAACGAAATGATGGCTGCAGGGTGTGAGGCCACTGATAAGCGATGTCCCACGCAGGTGGAGGCAGAGACGGGAATCGGGTGGATGGGTGCCAGGGGCTGGGGGAGACGCAAAGACACAGCTTGCTGGGATGAGGCTCCCGAGGGTGGTGGAAATGTCCTGGTTGTAGACAGAGGGCACAGTGGCATGGGACTGTGAATGTGCTAAAGGCCACTAAGCGGTTCACTTTGAACACTTGACGTTATGGCTTTGTGAATTTTATCTCTTTAAAATTGCTTTGGTCAGCACTGGGGAGGCTGAGGCAGGCAGATCCTTGCAAGTTCGAGACCAGTCTGGACTACAAAGTGAGCTCAAGGCCAGCCTGAACTGCATGGTGAGACCCTGTCTCAAAAAGAAAAAAAAATTGCTTTGGAATCTGCCAGGAACCTCAGGGAGATGCCACGTTGCCTCCGGCTATTGGAATGGATTCCTAAGTGATGGTATGCAGAGTCACAGACATGGCCAGCCGGGGTGTGGACTGTGGCAGCCGAAGCCAAACCAGCCCTACTTGTCCTGCTTACCTTAAAAATGCACATCTGTCTGTCATCTGTGCCTGGTTTGCACCTCTAAAGGTCTTGTCCTGGAAGCTCCAGTGTACCTGGACTTGAGAGGTGGAGGGCCCTTTAAAAGGTGGGGCCTAATGGGAGTTGCCTCGGTCGTAGCCCCACCCCTATGAATACATTAAAATCTTGGTGGGGGCGGGTACTGGGTCTGGTCTCTCCAGGCCAACTCGGGTCCCTCCAGAGGAGGCTGCTGAAAATCAAGGTTAGCTCCTTGTCGTCCAGCACTCTGAGAGGCTGAGGCAGGAAAATCACAAGTTTGAACCCAGTGTGGGCAACTTAATGACTTAGTAAGACCTTGTCTCAGAATAAAGAATTTAAAAAGGGCTGGGGGTGGAGCTCAGAGCGAAGGCTCTGGGTTCCGTCCCTGGCACCAAAAAGAGATTGGAGCAATGGGGGAGGGGAGTGAGTTACCTCCAGCCCATGGCTGAGACAGCAGGTGTTGATTCTCTCCCCTCCAGAAGCCTGTCATGTTCGAGCCCTGGACAGAAGTGGGTGGTCAGCAGGGTCGTCCCTGTGATCTGTGACAATCTCTGGGCCTCCCCTCCACTTGGCAGAGGCAGTCTCCCCGCAGGCAGGGGTCAGTCTCCGAGTTTCACCCCGTTGGGGTGAAGCCCAAGGCCTTAGGCAGCCAGGCACATGCTCACCTGAGCTGCAACCCCAGTCTGTTTCTGATCTATTTCCTGTGTCTTGTTAAGTCATTCAGTTGCCCAAGCTGGGTTTGTGCTTGTCAGCCTCCTGCCTCAGCCTCCAGAGTAGCTGGGCCCACAGTCATATGCATCACCACATCCACTTTATGCAATTTTCAGAAGGAGATAGTTCCTCAGAAAGGTACACTTTAAGTCGGCATGTGACCCCACACTTCTGCTAGGGGTACACACCCCAAGAATTGAAGATGGTTTCAAACAAATCCTTGTGCATGAATGGTAACAGCAGTACTGTTACCAACAGCTGAAAGTTGAAAGCCAGCCAGGTGCCCATCAGCCAACGATGGATACAGACAAGGTGGGCCATTCACATGGTGGAATATTACTTGACCACTAAAAAGAAATGGGGATTTGCTACATGCCGCAACTTGCTGCTCAGTGACAGAAGCTGGGTATGCAAGGCCACACAGTGTGTGACCATGTTAACATGAGACATCCAGCACAGGGAATCCACAGAGACAGAAAGCAGATTGGTGGCTGCCAGTTAGGCAAGGGATGGGACAGGCAGGATGGCTGGGGGGACCAGGGCTCTTTTGTGAGGTTGGACCTGCTCTGGAACCCAACAGAGGACACTGGTAGCTGCTTGCTGGCTCCCTTTTACCATTTGGGGTGAGCAGGTCCTCTCCCCAGCCCCGTCCTCAGCCCTGGAGGGACAGGAGTGTCACTGGAGGCCACCTGCCGCCCTCTGGCTGCTCTGGGGCCCAGGGCACTGAGTCCAGCCCCCGACAAGGCAGAAGCCAGGCGGCTGTAGGACGCAGCCTCAGCTCCACGCCTGGGTCTGCATGGACCCCGTTGGGGTCAGAGGGCCGGGGCCGGGGCTCAGCAGGAGGCATGGGGCTGGGCCCAGCTGGGCAGGAGATCAGTAGCGTGACTCGGCCTTTCCACTCTGCTTTCGGCCCGGCTCATCAGCCGTAAAACAGCCCGGCTCAGACGGAAACCTGGTCCTTTATGTGTTCCCGAAGGCACTGGCAGCAAGGGGGGAAATTCCAGGCTGATGAGGTGTGAGGGTGGGGGACCTGGTCTTCCTAGGGGCTGGGGCCGGTGGGACTGGGCAGGTCCCATGGACAAAGGACCTCCCTGAGCCCTGCGGTAGCCAGGATGGCGGGTGGCCCGGCCATCCCGGGACAGGCGTCCACAGGAATTCCCATAAAACTGCGTCAGGCGGCTCCCCAAGGGGCCTCTGCTCACGCACCACC